TAAAGCGTTTAAGAGATATACCTAGCAATAAATGTAAATAGTTAAAGTGAAGGAAATTATAAGCCTTAACTGCCAGATGTAAGTAAAAGACCAAAAAAATCAAAATGGACAGTTATACTATGGGTATACTCAATATTTTGAAAACCTCGCTTGTCCCCAAATTGACTCATAGCTTTCATGCAATCTTCATTCAAAAATCTCAAAAGAGGGGCACCTGGGTGACTCAGTGGGTTGAGCCTCTGCCTTCGGCTTGGGTCGTGATCTCGGGGTCCTGGGATCGGGCCCTGCGTTGGGCTCTCTGCTCGGTGGGGAGCCTGCTTCCCCCTCTCTGCCTGCCTCACTGCCTGCTTATGATCTCTCTCTCTCTCTCTCTCTGTCAAATAAATAAATTAAAATCTTTAAAAAAAAATCTCAAAAGAAAAACCCGACAAAAATCTCAATAATAATTTTAAATATAACTTAATTGGTATATTCTGGGATGCATCTTGAAGAGTATAAGAATACCAAAGAAAATTTTTCAGGGATGTCTGGGTGGCTCAGTCAGTTAAGTGTCTGCCTTCAGTTCAGGTCATGATCCCAAGGTCCTGGGATCAAGTCCCACTCCAGGCTCCTTGCTCAGCCTGGAATCTGCTTCTCCCTCTGCCTGCTATTTCCCCTGCTTGGGTGTTCTGTCTCTCTGACAAATAAATAAATAAGATATTAAAAAAAAAAAAAAAGGAGGGGCGCCTGGGTGGCTCAGTGGGTTAAGCCTCTGCCTTCAGCTCAGGTCATGATCCCAGGGTCCTGGGATCGAGCCACACATCAGGCTCCCTGCTCAGCAGGGAGCCTGCTTCCCTCCTCTCTCTCTGCCTGCCTCTCTGCCTACTTGTGATCTCTGTCTGTCAAATAAATAAAATCTTTAAAAAATAAATAAACAATAAAAAAATTAAAAAGGAAACTTTATTTAAAAAAAAAAGGAAGAATACCAAAGAAAACTTTCTAAAAAGAACAGTAAGTGGTGCAGAACTTGCCTTGTCAAGTATCAAGCCTTACTGATACTTAAGACATTTAGAAAACATTAAGTAAAATTCCTTGCTTATACACAAAACTAAATCCTAGGTGATTCACAATTCTAAAAATACAAATCCATTATAATATAATTGTATTAGAGAAAAGTGTAGAGTAATATACATATATACATATATATACACATAGAGATGTATACATATGTCTGCATATGTAATATAATTTTGGGGTAGAAGGTAAGAAGTTAGAAGCCATAAAGGAAAAGATTTCAAGATATTACTACATTACAATGTAAGGTCTTTCCAATACTGGAAAAATCTACAAAGTTAGAAAACAAACAATAGTCTGGAAGAAAATAATTTCTATAGATAAATAAATAGCCCCACATCGGGCTCCCTGCTCAGCGGGGAGCCTGCTTCTCCCTCTTCCACTCCCCCTGCTTGTGTTCCCTCTCTCGCTGTGTCTCTCTCTGTCAAATAAATAAATAAAATCTTAAAAAATAAAAAATAGTTGAGCTGTTCAGACTCACTAGTAATAAGGGAAATGCAAATTAAAATTATAGTGATATTTTTGTCTATCAGACCAACATTTTAAAAATTAATACTGTGCAGAAATGCACTCATAAATGTTGGTACAAGAAGTGTAAGTAGCTATGACAGTTTAGCAGTACAGTTATAAATATAAAATGTACATACCTTTTGGATGAGCAGCCCTACTTCTAGGAATCTCTTCTACAAAAATACTCATCTAAAAATCCATCAGTTGGGAATGAGTAGGTAAATACTACTCACCCTTTTTTTTTTTTTTTAAGACTTTTATTTATTGGGCACCTAGGTGGCTCCTGGCTTAGCGGGGAGTCTGTTTCTCCCTCTGCCCCTTACCCCAGTCATGGTCACTCTCTTGCACATGGCACACACGTGCTCTCTCTCTCTCAAATAAATAAAAATGTTTAAAATTTTCAAAAAAATTTTTTTATTTATTTTTGAGAGAGTGAGCAAGAGAGATCACAGAGGGAGAAGGAGAAGCAGACTCCCCACTGAGCGGGAAGCCCAGTGTGGGGCTCAGTTCCAGGACTCTGAGATCATGACCTGAGCCAAAGGCCACCCAGGTGCCTCAGTACTATTCACCCTTTAAAAAGAACAAAGTAGTTCAATCTGTACTAACATGGGAAATTGTATATGGTATATTGAAAAAGTAATTTAAGATATGTGGGTAGTATAATCCTACTTGGGTTAAATCATTTATGTGTTAAAACTAAGGTTCACACCAAGCAGTTAAGGGCAGTCACCTCTGGGAAGAGAGGTAAGATGGATTGGGGACAGAGGAGAGGAGAACTTCTTGACCCATTTCTGCACTTGTTGGAATTTTGCAATGAATATCTTTGGTAATTTACAAAATTTATGTAATGATACATTCTTAGGTTGAAAATTCTTCCATTAAAATTTTTAGAATCCACAAAAGTAGGACAAAGAAATAAAGATCCTCCTTTCCATCACCCAATGGCGCCGCTGACGTTTTCGGATAAAAGGGAGAAAAGTGAGTGCAGCAGAGTCCACTCCTTAGAAAATAAGATGAACAAGATGACACGAGGGTATCTTTGGGGAGAAAGAGGACCTGGTTGTGTTTCTCAGGTTCGCTTGGGTCTGTTGCCGTTTGCTATCTGACCCTGGGGAAGCCATTGACCTCGTCTATGGTCCAGTTAGGTTTTCTGCATTTTGCAGGTAGGCGTGACCTACTTCCATGGAAGAAAGGGCTGGAGAGAAAGAATGCCAAGAAAGGTTCTGCCTGAATGTGCAGTGTTATTGTTAGAATGTCCACAAATGAATGTCAGAACCCAGGGTCTCAGAGGGCCCCCGATAAATGAGAACTCTTTGTAAATGCTGACCTCTAAAGTAGGTACCACAGCAAAGAGTGGGGTGGGCATAAAGTAGATAAAACATGAAAGGCCCTGTTGTCCAGTAGAGGAGGGGTGTGTGTGTGTGTCAAGCTTAACGTTTATAAAGCAATAAAGGAGAACACTGTAATACAGCATCATTACAGAATTCTGAAGTAACTTAGAGCAATTAGGTTTGGGAAATATTAATTACGAGATACTTTCAGAGGGTAGGAGAGGGTGCATATGCCTGGGCGTGTGCCTGGGTTGTGGGGGAGGTGGCGGAGCAGTGGTGCCAGGAGCGATAGAGCTTTGGGAAGCTTTGTTACTAAGTTCAAAGAGAATTTCTAAAGGGAAAATAAAATCCCCATTTGACTCAGATATGGCTCATTGTCTGAGGCAATGTCAAGAGGCACAAGATCAAATCTAGCTTGACACCATCCAATACTGAACCCAGCAGTCTCTAGAAGCCGTCGCTGCGCGGCAGCTTGGCTAATGAGAAATCTCTGTCCTCTGCCAATGCCTTGGGGGCCCAGCTCTTCCTCTTTGGCAAGCAGGATACAAAGAGAGCTCAAAGCAGAGAGGACCTCAAAGGTCACCCCGAACATTCATTCTGCAGGCTCCCCACCGGGCCTTTCCAGAAAACAGATGAGCGCGGTTTTACAGTTCAGCTAGAACAGGAGCCAGAGGCTTCATGCTTCGACCTGGGGTAGGTTTTAATGAAACCTGAAGGATGTTTCACACGTTGTCCAGCCATTAGCAGTGAGGAGTCAGGGGAGCGGCGTGCCAAACACCACCAGGCTGTCTCCTCTCGTTTATTCTCTGGGTGTGAAAGGAGCAATTGTAAAATTCAGAGGCAATTAGAAGTTAATACTGAGAGCCGTCCATGTCAATATCGCGGGCTGTTACTAAGTTCACTTTCACCAGGAGGACACATCCCGTTATTTGAGGGACGACGTTTGTGCATTTCAGCGGTTGGGCCTGCAGAACCCTCACGTGGAAGTCAGGTTCCTCCCCGGTGTGTCCTTTCTAATTTGTGAAATACTTCTTGAACCTGTCCTCTTCCCACTGTCCCCGCTGCTGCATGCGGGGGTCATCACAGCAGTCTGGACACTGAGCTCCCGTCTCCAGCTGTGCCTCCTTCAGGCCATTCCTCACGCTGCCTGAGCCGTCTTTCCAAACTTGAGCTCTGCTTGTCCTTTCAGAACTCAGGATCCTTTGGTGGCATTCAGGGCCTGGTCTAGTATCCCCACTGCGCACCCTCCTGACCGCACGTCCTGCATTGTGCCTCTCTCCACTCCATCACTCCATCATGCGCTCTGAGCCAGTGCTGTGGCTACCCAGCACTGCGGTGGCCCCTTGCCAAGATCGCCCTCTGGCTGGTTTCTGTCCCTGGATTACCTTTTTTGCCAATAACTACTTGTCTCATGTTTTAGCTGTACCTGTCACCTCTAGAAAGTGTCCCAAACCTCCTTTGTCTTAGGTACTGTCCCCCACGCGCTGGAAGCACGTTGGGTTTACTTCTGTCCCCCGCCCCTTCACTATACTCGTGTCCCTTCACATGGACTCCTTATGGGTCTGATTCCTTGACTCACCTGGAAAATGCCTTAAAGGTAAAAATCAAAAGCACATAGTTGGTGCTTCATGAATGTGTTATAGGAAAGAATGAATGCATGTAATTTTTTTTAAAGATTTTATTTATTTATTTGACAGACAGAGATCAGAAGTAGGCAGAGAGGCAGGCAGAGAGAGAGGAGGAAGCAGGCTCCCTGCTGAGCAGAGAGCCCGATGTGGGACTCGATCCCACGACCCTGAGATCATGATCCGAGCCAAAGGCGGAGGCTTTAACCCACTGAGCCAACCAGGCACCCCTGAATGCATGTAATTTTTTAAAATTTAGTTTGCAAACATGCATGTGGGTCTTTGTTTTGCCTGATCTGACAAGAGTCAAGTCATATTCAGCCTGCTGTGTTCTTAGTAACATGACGAAAATGAATAAAATAAGCAATGTTAGTCATCTAGTAAGTCAAAGACTCTTGCCTCTCTTCCTGGAGCTTCATGAAGTAGTTGTCTAATGGGGCTCCCGTGGTGTTTCTGAATGAAAGCTCCTGCCTTATTCCAGGTCAGCTGTTGCCAGCAAACCGCAATACACCAAGTCCCATCGATCCTGACACCATCCAGGTCCCGGTGGGTTATGAGCCAGACCCCGCAGACCTTGCCCTCTCCAGCATCCCTGGCCAGGAAATGTTCGATCCGCGCAAACGCAAGTTCTCAGAGGAGGAACTGAAGCCACAGCCCATGATCAAGAAAGCACGCAAGGTCTTCATCCCCGATGATCTGAAGGTAAATTGGAACCGGTCATCAGGCTTGAGCACATGGAGGGTGGGATCCAGAGGCAGATAAAAAGCATGACCTCCAGGAAGATCACATAAGCCAGTGAACAAAGAAGTTGTGATTTCTTATCCTATTTCTTGGCATGTGACTCTAGGCAAGTTGCTTTCTCCCTGGGTGTCTTCTGAAATATGCCTTGATATAGCACAGAAATAAGGAGAAGCAATAAAATGTTGGAATGATTTACAACCCATGAAGGAAACAAATCTGGTACTATCTGCAGGGAAGCCTGTGAAAGCCCAATAAAATCAAACCAAAATCTTTCAGGGTTGGAAAGAGAAAGGAAATTATTTGCAAAGGACATCTGGACCACAAAGTCCTTCAAGGGTTACCTTCCCTTGGGAAATTGATAACCACTTGCTGCCTTTGCCTTATAGACCCCAGGGAGTAACAACCAGAGATAGGATCTTCCTCCACCCTTGGATGACTTGGGTGGGATTTTCTTAAGGAAGCTTGTGGGTTCGCTTACATATTTATATGTAATATTTACTCTGTGTCTTTAATAATGATCACTTGACTATCTCAAGAAAAGGTTAATTCCAGGTGTTTGCTGCTATATTGAAAGGACACATTATTTAGAAGGGAAAATAGATTTACCTTACAAAGTCTGATACAACTTGAAACAAAATTAATCTGACATATTTAACAATAATTGGGAAGAGGATTCTTTCTAAAACTATGCCATGTCCACTAATCCCAAAATAGAACCATTTTTGATTAGCCATGGCTTAGAACTTTTTGTGTTTATGGTTCTTTCCAATCATATGGACAATAGAGATAGATTGTATGCATTCGAGGCCTTGAAATCAGGCATAATTAGCCATTTTCTAGCTCCTGATCCCCCATTTGTCAAAACTAACTGTGGTGTGGATGGAGAGTCACTTGTAGGCTGGGCACATGGGAGTTTGGGACGTGGTCCTAGAACCAGTTTGGACCAGATAACCTGTTTACGCTATCTAGAAAGAGCACCAGGGGAAAAGGAAATCAGCAGATTGAAATCACTGCTGTTATCTACGTACCCGAGATTATCTTGAGTGAGGCAGACTCATCAAATGTGGGGCTGAAAGGGACCTCACAGGTTCGTTAGACCAAAATTACCATTTTGCAGTTGAGGAAATGGAGCAGGGAGAGAGGCGAAGTGAGGTGAACACCGCTGGTTTGTGGAAGGCCTGGTCCCCGAGTCTTCCGGTTTCCAGAAATGTCACTGCAGCATGTTGGCTGTCACTAGTAGCTGTCACCCTAAGAATCTGAAGAGTGAAGTTCATAGTAGACACACTGTGAAATCTAAATGAGTCTGGGAACTGGTGGTCAGACAGCAAGAGGGGAGAAAGAGCCAGGCGATCAGGTCCTGGCAGCTGAGTCTCTCCTTTGAACTGGATGCTTTTCCTCATCTTAGCCATCTGATCCTGCATGTGTCCTAAAGCTCGTGTCTTCAACTCAACCGGGGAGCCATACAGCATGGGCCTGCTTTTGAACAGAGAGGCGTTTGCAAGGATGATCCTGAGTGGTAGCTCTGACTTGTAGGCAGACCTTGCCAGGGTCTCCAGGTTTACAAGTTCAAAGCAAAGAGCAGGCTTACTGAATAACCCAGGTCACCCTGGCAACCAAGAGGCCATGGGAAAACTGTGTGCTGGAATTATGCATAGTACTCGTGTCACAGCCGGGCCTGACCTTTCCCCATGACAGGTGGGTAGCAGGCAGGAACGTTCTCCTGCCAAGTGTCCTTGGATATCTTCAGTTGTGAGGGAAGCTTCAGGGCCACAGACGGTGATCTCACATGGAAACGAGAAGTGGAGCTGTAACACAGTTCTCCTAGCAGAGAGGACTGAGCTGGAGTGGGGGGGAGAGGTATTTGCGGCCCCCAGCATGGCACGAGCACGCCAGTCAAGCAAAACGGCCCTGCCAGTAAATGGTCTTCCCCACGGCTGCCTAAACCCTCCCTGGAACCATTCACTTGTGTTCGCGCGCATCTCCTGGGAGAAGTAAGCATTGTTGGTCCTGGGATTCCTACCCGAGGAATCCGTTTAATCATCTTGACGTCTTCACACTTGTAACTGTTCATTCATTTGCTTGACAAATATTTTTCAAATGCTTGTGTGTTCCAAGCCCTGGGGATATAGAGAGGTGAACCAGAACTGCCATTGTTCCTACTCTCAAGGAACTTCTCGTCTGGCAAGAAAAAGGGATCGTTGACTTGTCATGAGGGAGGCAGTGTGGAACACGAGACCTTCAGGAAGATGATGGGGCAGGACTGGGTGGGCCCTTGTTGGGTGTGACAATAGGGTAGCCAGATGGCTCTGGGCATAGAGGAGAAGAGGACGGGAATGTAGTGCCAGATCTGTCAGTCCCACTCAGTAGCCTGCTTCCCCCTCGCCCACCCAGTCCATGGTAACAAAGGGGGACAAGCTGCTTTTCTGGTCCATTGCAGTCCTCCATCCATCATTCATTCCTGCCTTCTGTGTCCTCCACTCCACCCCTTCTCCCAGCTCCCCTTCCACCTGAAATGGTCCCCATTCTACACCTTTCCTAGCTCCCCTGCTTATGTGGACAGGTGAGGCTGGGAATTAAAAACATCTTAGAAGGGAGAAGAGCTCCAAGAGACAGAAAAGTTGGTTGTTATCCTGAGGTCAGCTGCTGATTCCCCTGATTGTTAAAACCCAGTCGCACACCTCTTAAGCCCAGGGCCCATGGCAGTCACCCCCCTTCCCTTCCCTCCATCCTGCCCCCAGCCTCTGCCATCTCCCAGGGGCTCGTTCTCATGCACTCCTTTACCTCCTGGGCTCCTGGTCCCCTGGGTCAGATACTGATACATTCTAAGCTCCTCTTTTGAATGATCTTGGAAACCACACACTTAAGGAACATGGACTGTGGTAAATTTACCCAGATTTGGGGGGGGGGGGTGGAATTGGGCCTTAACATCAAAGTAAGCCAACAGCCGCCATCAGGTCCTCCTACGTACTCTGGAGGCATTTGACTCTCTTTCGGCTCTTTCCAACTCACCCCATGCAGCTGGCCTGGCCTCTCCCCGCTTCCTTCAGTCCCCTGCCCCTTTTCTGAAGCACAGACGACAATGGCGGCAGCACACCTGCCCCGAGCTGACTTACCCAGCTATTCTTCAGAGCACAGCCTTCTCTAAAAGAAGGATGCTAGTGCCAGCTACTGGGAAGATCACTTTTTCACTTTGTTACATATTATTATGAAACCTGTAGAAGGCTGGGAGAGCTTTGTAAATAAGATACCGGTACCAGACTGAGTGGCGGGCAGAAGGTGCCTGCGCATGCGCACTCTCTCTCTCGCTTCCTGTCTCGGTGCGGGGCACACATTTGCCCAGGATAATGGACCGGCATGAGGTTTCTCCACTGGCCTTGGCCCTTCCTTGCAGCCTTGGTCCCAACCCATGTGACCTCCCCCAAAGCCAAATGCCCCTTGTAGTCCTGGGGGAGGGTAAGAACTGTCCTCACCCCACTTATTCTGGGTGACCTGTAACTGCGTAACTGGAAGGATTGGCCTAGCTAGGATGGAGGGGTTTGCTGTTGCAAGTCGTTGAAGAGAAAGGGTTGCAAAACATGCCAGCTGGCACCATAGTTGAATTGGTGAGGCCTAAAAGAAGATTTACATTTCTTAGTCTTCTTCAGAAAGTTTTCCTTTCTTTTGGCAGATGGAGCAGTGAAGAGCGGGAAGGGACATGATGCACATTTAAGTAGTACCGAGGCAAAGTAAGGCCTAGAGAAGAGTTAAACAGGAAATTAGAGTGAATTATTTAAATGCTAGCCACCAATATGAGCATACTGATCAGTGGTAGGTGGAAGTTTTTGGTTTCTTGTTTTTTGAATTTGTTTCTAATTACCAAGACATACATCGGAAAGATAGAAAAGGTGAAAGCTCTGACCTTTCTCCTTGGCATCCCTCCTCCAATTCCCTTTGTAGAGGCACTGCTTTCAATAGCTTGGTATAAATCCTCCCGGGCCTCTTTCTATGAATATACAATCCTGTGATTTTTTAACCAAAGTGGGATGAGGCCATGCATATTTATCAGCAAATTGCATTGGTTTCCACCCACGTCGTGGTTTATCATGAACATCTTTTGGGTTCAGCTGGATCATTATTTGTTAACAGCTGCTGAGTATCCTTTTGTATGACTCCACCATCATGTAGTTATTAAATCTCCTACTGATGAGTTCCCCCCCACCAGCTCTATTAGAAACAATGCCACAGTAAAATTTCTCTGCCCCTGTCTGTGTGCACACGCGTGCAGATGGGCGGAGGCCGAGATCCTAGAAGGGGAGTTGCTCTGTCAGTGGCTGTGCATTTCAATAGTTGATAGACATTGCCAAGTCGCCTTGCAACAGTATCTTGTGGACTTCTACCAACAAGCATTGAAGCCTCAATGGAAGGAAAGGGTTCTTAAAATAACATTTTCATCAAAGAACGCAGAGAGATCTGAAGGTAGTTTAGCCTATGAAGTTGAGCTGCTTGCTTTCATGCAACTTATGCGGCCCCCCTCGTCGGGCACATATTCGGGCAGAGAGGAAGGAGGGGCGCACTGTGACAGGTGCGTTCTTGCTGCGGGAGGGAATCTGGGCACACAGCCCTCGCAGTCAGATTCGCACAGACGGTCCCGGAAGGAGACACGAGGTGAGAGGCTTGGGTCCCTGGTGCCGGGCACCACCCTGAACCCGCCCGAGGCTGAAATCTAACGTCTTGTTTCCTTCCCCCTGTGACTAATGAGCAGGACGACAAGTACTGGGCCCGGCGCAGGAAGAACAACATGGCAGCCAAGCGCTCCCGCGACGCCCGGAGGCTGAAGGAGAACCAGATCGCAATCCGGGCGTCCTTCCTGGAGAAGGAGAACTCGGCCCTGCGCCAGGAGGTGGCTGACTTGCGGAAGGAGCTGGGCAAATGCAAGAATATACTTGCCAAGTACGAGGCCCGGCACGGGCCCCTGTAGGTTGGTGGTTTTGTGGGCTGGCTTCCGAATAGATGGACAATGTGTTTCCCGCCCGATAGCACCACACCTGAAGCAACCTTTCTGACATCAGCACTTTACCGGAGGCGTAAACCCAACTGACTCACGTTCTGGTGTACGTGCGCGCGCGTGCTTGTGCTCCCGTGTGGTCCAAGGCGCGCGCGCGTGCCTTTGCACTTGCCATGTTAAGGTAGCCCTCTCGTCGTCTTTCAGTTCCGAAAAAGAAAGGTGCCGTGTTTTTACTGGACTGAGGAGACACCCCCTGACACACACACACCCGTGGGGTCTCCTGCCCCTCCCTCCTCCTCCGCTCCTCCCCCTTCCAGCGTCACTCCCTGGTGACTCCCGCCTACTCTTCCAGGACCCTCTGCTGGGCTTCATCACTCAGGGTCCTGGTAAACTAGTAGATCTCAGTTGTCAAGACTACGAGCTCTTGTTTCTGTTTAATCTGTAAGTTACCATGCTAATAAGGTGCACAAAAATCACTTAGCACTACACTGCAGCTGTCTCTCTCAGTTATAGGTTGCTTTCCTCATATTTTCAGTTTTGGTGATAATTGTCTTCAAATTTAAAGTGTTGTTTAGATTTACTAGATCCCATATTTACTTACTGCTATCTACTAAGTTTCCTTTTAATTCTACCAACCCCAGATAAGTAAGAATACTATTCTAGAACACAGAGTGTGTTTTTGCACCGTCTGTACCTAAAGCAATAATCCTACTGTACGCTAGAGCATGCTGCCTGAGTATTACTAGTGGGCATAGGATATGTTCCCTACCTAAGAATTTCACTGTCTTTTACAACACAAAAATTACAGTAATGCATTTGCGCATGCCCAGAACATCCCCAGGACAGGGAAGCAGAGGGAAATGCCAGGTCTCAGAACGAGGGGTTAACTTATCAGTGTAGGAGCCAAAAACAATTGCATCTTGGAACAGCTTTTGACATTGATCTGTCTGGTTTTGTTTTCTCCCCTCCCCCATCCACCCACCCTCCCCCTTTTCTAGTTGCCTTTTTCCATATCCCTCTTGATACTAGAAACAATTACTTAAGATTCAGTTTTCCCCATTTTTTGTAATATATATATTTTTGTGAATTATACCTTGCTGTTTTTAAAAATCAGTTAATTAAGTTAATAAGTTGATGTTTTGTAAGACCCTTTTTCCTAGTGGTGTCGTTTTTGAATGCTTCATAAATTAATGATTCTGGAGCTTATGTTTCTTATTTTCTGTTTGCTTTTTGAACGTATGTGCTCTTATAAAGTGGACTTCTGAAAAATGAATGTAAAAGACACTGGTATATCTCAGAAGAGGAGGGTGTTGTCACAAACTGTGGTTAATCCAATCAATTTAAATGTTTACTATAGACCAAAAGGAGAGATTATTAAATTGTTTAATGTTTATACAGAGTAATTATAGGAAGTTCTTTTTTGTACAGTATTTTTCAGATATAAATACTGACAATGTATTTTGGAAGACATATATTATATATAGCAAAGAGAAAAGGAAAACTATTCCATGTTTTAAAATTATATAGCAAAGATATATATTCATCAATGTTGTACAGAGAAGAAGAGCTTGGGGGTTTTTGAAGTCTTTAATATTTTAAGCCTATCACTGATACATCAGCATGTTTTTTGCTTTAAATTAAAATTTTATGACAGTATCGAAGCTTAGTGTGACGAATCTCGCTCTAAAATACGGAAGGTTCTTTCTTGTTTCCTATTAGGTCTCAGAAAGAAGTTAGTTAACGTCACCCAAAAGCACAAAGTGGATGTTAGTCAAATATTTATTGGATGATACAGTGTTTTTTTAGGAAAAGCATCTGTCACAAAAATGTTCACTTCAAAGTTACGAATTCCTGGAATGAAATATCACTGCAAGCACCCCAAACAATTCTGTTCTCCTCTGTGGGCACGTGCGTCTTATGCAATATAAGGTTGATATCGGTGTTAAGTGTATGGTTTCTAATTTGATAGGTGTTTTGACTTCAAAGATGATTGTTCTTTTGTTTCACAAAGTTGTGTAATGTCAAGAGATTCTGCTGTTATTGCAAAGAAACAATTTGTGCTAGATTAAAACACCCTTTCATCAATGGGATTTTCTAGTCTCCTGCCTCCAGAGTATCTAATTCTTTAATGACCTGGTGGTCTCCAGCAGCAAAGCTTCTGTCACAGTGTCCTCATCTTGGGAAACCTGACCAGCAGGATCTTCCTACTAGGTATTCATTTTGTCCCAGGCCACAGCTGACAACTGATGTGGGAGAGGCTTAGAATCAAAATGCTTTGTTAGGTATACAACTAGTAAAATAAATAAGACCTTCAGCCAAGTTCTCCAGCAGAACCAAGTAAGTGGTTTTCGGTAAGAGACACGGGTGGACGCACAAAGTTGGCGTTTTTATAGGTAAAAAGACCAACAGCCAAGAAATTATTAAGAGGCAGTCATTACTAAAACACAGACCAGCAGTATCTTTAAGTGGAGAAGCAATGCACTGTGGACCATCCAAGTTCACTGCCCAGTGAAATGGTAGCTGAGAAAACTACATTTGAGCACTGGTCATTCTTGGAATTAGGTGGTTTGTATCAAATGAGGATCGCAAATGTTCTCTGCGGAAGAAACAAAAAGATCATAATAAAACTCATCCTTTGGTGTGCCGGGGAAGGTTTCAGAAAACCTACCTCATCTTAAAATTTAAGAAACTTTGGAGTCTGTACGCAGGCCTTCTATGTAGGTCATTGTCACCACACACACATGAACGCTCATTCCTGGACTCCCTGCTTTCTGTCAAGGGTAATTAACTAGTCAATAAGGCAGTTCTGCTAAATGACGTGGGAAGCCATGGCCTGATCTGGAACGACTCGGATCAACCAGGGTCAAATGAGTTCTGCAGACTGCAGCTATTAAAAATCCTGTTGTCATTTTTCACCTTTTCATCATAAGCATCTTTCAGAGATTAATTACTTGGCCATTAAAAATGAATCCAAATCACATCATGCCAACATCATTTAAGATACAATTTGGAAGGAGCGGCCCAGGACTTCCTGACAAGGTCATGCTATCCTTTCTGTGGACTAGACTTGCAGAGGAAGGCCTGGCCTGCTGCTTCTGCCACTTGAGGCTATAGGGACGGGGTGGGAGGGCTGTATATGACTGCTTCCTCCTTTTCAGACAGTGGCCGCCTTCTGACCATTCAAAACACCCAGTGGGCAAGACTGTGATGGGCCTTTCATCTTCCAGTGCGACAGGCCTGTGTGAAGCCATTCCTCAATGCAGAATGACTGTTGGTTCCAGGAGAGTGTGAATGGGATCTGCGGGGGGTAGGGTGCTGTACTAAGGTAACCCACAGTTTCCTCCGGTGAGTCATTACAGGTTTTGTGAGGGAACACACAATAATTCTTTTTTTTTTTTTTAAGGTCTTATTTATTTATTTGAGAGAGAGAGTGAGTGAGAGAGAGCATGAGAGGGAGGAGGGTCAGAGGGAGAAGCAGACTCCCTGCTGAGCAGGACCCTGGGATCATGACCTGAGCCGAAGGCAGACGTTTAACTGCCTGAGCCACCCAGGAGCCACATAAAACACACAATAATTCTAAAGGTGCATTTAAAAGGTCTTGGGTCTGATTTGGGAAGAGTCAAAAAGAATTCTAGGTGGAGCCCCTTTCCTCCATCCCCCCTACCCAGCAAATAAAATAATGGGCATTCTGTAATATGCAGAGTTATGCTTATTTTTTTCTGATATTTTATCTAATTACCCCCTTAATGTTCCTTTTAGGAAAACTCAGATTTTAGCAGAGTTCATCAGAGCAATCCCAAGGCAGGCTGACATGGCCTGCTTACCTGAGTGGAGTGCAGAGGCCGGGATTTAACCCGGGGTCAGCAAGCTGCAGGTGATGGGAGACTGTGTATGTGGTAAACCTCTTCTGTTCCCAGTGTGCCAGATTCCTGCCAAGGCTCCTGGGGCTCCCTGGAGAGGCTGTGGTCTCTTTCAGCTTTTCTCTACAATTAATAATGTCACTTTAAAAATGAGCAAAGCCTTATCTTAGATCTTGACTGAATTGGACTTGGCAACTGAAGTTAGTACATTTTGCAGTGGGCCAAGTGTGTGTATGTGTAGAGGAGAGAGTGTGTGTGTGTAAATATTTAAGTCAAATCATAAATCTTTAATTTGGAAGCACCTTACCAAACCTAACAGTAACCATAACCATTATCCTTCTGGCAACACCACAAAGACCGCATCTGTTAAGCAGGTTAAAATTCACATGAGGTCAGTTTAATTGTTACACCATGATATTGGTGGTGTTTATGCTGTTAAGTCCAAACCTTTATCTGTCTGTTATTAATGCTTAATAAACTTTGAATTTTTTCCTTTCTTTCATGTATTTTTGTTGGTAGTCTACTAGAAATTAGACTCTGTTCCCAATCCTATCACCAAGAGACCATTTATAGAGATTAATTACATCGATGATAAATAATAATACCATGTCATCAGTGATGCATTACTATTTATTCAGTACTTCTGTGCCAGGCACTATGATAAACACTTACATGGCATATTTGATCTAATCCTATATCAACTCTGTGAGGTGGGGGCTATTATTGTTGTTCCCATTTTATGGAAGAGAAAAGAGAAGGTTTGAGAGGTTAAGCAACTTGTCTAACATTATATAGCCAGAGGTGACAGAAATGAATTCTGGCCCATTGGATGGGCATCATTAGAGAGCTGCTTCCCCAAAACCAGTCCTGGCTGGATGTATACAAATTGACTGGGAACATAACCCAGGACTACAGATCCAGCAATTCTGAGTCACTAGGAAGAAAATGAATTGTTTAAGGGCTTCCAGCTAACTCCCATGTGTGGCCAAGGAGTTGGAAGCAAGCATTCGCAGACTTGACCTTAATCTGAGTTCGTGACTCTTGGGGGATCCAGGCAGAAGCTTCAAAATTTCCATAATTACCTAAAATTGTATGCAACTTTTTGCGTATAAACCTATTTTTCTATAGGGGAGAGCCACAGCTTCCCGCACTCCCCCAAGGAATCTGTGACACAAGATGGAATGAAAACCCCCACTTACGGCCTTCTAGCAGGGCTGACGCAGCGCGGTGGCAGCCGGCCCTGCAGCCCACCACACTCCCCTGGGAAGCTCCAAACACCAGCACCACGTGGGCTGCAGCCCAGGCCAAGGAGCTCAGCATCTTGGGCACGAGAGAAGGGGACTCTGTGGTGAGGAGCTCGGTGAGTCAAATCTGTCACTTAGCAGGTGTATGACCTTGCA